TAATCCTATAACATATAGTAAGTACTTTCGCGTTTTCTGCATTTGGAATTTTCTTTTCATATTGTAGAAGATTTGAATGAACGTTATATGACGTCTCGTATTTAATATGATGAAACTCAAAAAGCTTTGATTGATTAAGTTCTTCAAATATGTTTGACTTATATGGATTCATTGCGATCATTATTGGAAATATTATCAGAATCAGCGATCCCGATCGGGGGGGGGGCCAGCCCCTCCCTGGAATTTTTGACTTTCCGTAAAAGTCTTTCCCTTGCGTTTCCGCCGCGGAAAATGTAGCAGCGGCATAAAAAGCTATTTTTTATGGCAACTTTTCTGTGCTAATCTTTCGCGTCGATGTACAAATACGAGTGCAGTCCGTTTTATATTACCTTGGAGTCTCTCTTCCGTTCCTAAGTATTTTCATGTCTGCCCGGTTTATTTTATCGTCTCGAGTGGAAGAATTGAAATAAGAGTTTTAATTATCAGATTTGAGCGGCTGTAACACTCTTAATTCATTTTAACATGTGAAGACTACAATTAAAAATAGAATGAAAATGAGAGTCAAAATGACAAAAGTTCGATCCATTTATGCAGCCATTACCAAATAAAACTGCCGTGTATAGGACATTACATTAAAGCGAAGACAAGAATATAGTTGTATATATATATCGAATGCGTTTCTTTCTTTTATTTAATAAAATGAAAAGTAAAAATTTATATTTGTCTCCGTGCAAAAAGTACGGATGAGAGAAGAGAAAAGTATACTATAATGCACGTTTTCGATCTCTTATGGACGACAACTCTTACTCATTTCAAATGTAAATAGAAATAAATATAGATGTTAGTATAGACAATAACGAAATGTCTTAAAGTAAAGAATTCATGACGATATCTATATATGTGTATATATTTGGAACAATACTTCTATTTCATTTTAATGTAACATATCGCACATTCATCTTGCATAAGAATCTAATAAAATTTTGCTAACATCCGTATATAAGAATCAATGTCTACGGGAATCGCTTCAGTGTCGTTTACCAAAATTATGTATCCATCAAGTACAGTAATATCGTGTCCAATATGTGCGAAATCAATACGATTGAAAAATTGGAAAGAACATTGTAAGTCCAAACACTCGCTAATAATGTCAGCTGAGAAAATTCAGAAAACGTACGACAATTTAAAATTGAGCATATCCAACACACAACTCTGTGCTCCTGCAACAACGGCGTCCTCAAAAAATAGTCTTTTTTCATTTGCGTTTACTAAACAGCAAACAATAACCGATTGTTCGGCAATGTCACTGGTACGAATTGGAACACACTCTCCTCTTTCTGATGATATACACACACCGTTAAGTATAGTTACAGAGACAAATAACCAAATGGAAATAGGAAGTAAGCTAATTTCTAATGTCTCTCAGCTAAGAGTAATAATACTTGCCTTTTTTAGACCATGAACCAACACTTCAATCGAGCTCTGATTCACTTCTCACTACACCAGCCGTTTTTGATATTCTAGCTGATGATTGTTCACATAGCTCTTCAAGCGGTAAAAATATTATACTGCCCCGATGCGATGTCAAAAATCGTCTCTTTTTGTATTGCAGGTGATTTTAAGTCTATTGAACATATTTCTAATGAGTTATATCAAGCGAGTGAAAGCGAAATCAACGCCGGCACTGAACATGATGATAAAAACCTTACCAAAGTGGCTGAGACAAACACTAGACGCGAGAATAGTAGCCAAGATACAATGGCATCACAAAATATCCGACGATATCCACATCTTACGCCAAAATTTTTGCCAAATATCCCTTTCATAAATGATCAAGAAGCAGCATTGTTGGATGCTAAACGTAGAAAATATGCTCATTTACCATGGTATGCTACAGAAAAACAACAACTACAAATGCTTCGTAAACCTAGTCCTCTATGGTTTCCTGAACGACCTTGGTTACGAGCTGTTTGTACAGAAAACAAATACTATGGTTTATTATGTATTGATTGCATTGAATTTGCGAAAGATGAATTTCATATTGAGCGTAGTAGTGGTGCTATTATTTGCTCACCATATTGGAAGTTAAAGCATAAAGGACTCGAAGGTATATGTTATTTTTATTCCTCGCATCTGTGAAGGACTACAGGTATATTTAGGTATTCGAAAACATGAAAACAGCAATATTCATACAACATCTCATGATGCTCGAAAATATTTACGTACAATCGTTTCAACTGGAAATATCGTGGGACAATTAAGAGCTCGCAATATGAATGATCAAACTTTGGAATATCTGTCTATTTTATTGAAAACATTTTGGTTCATGCTCACACACGAATTGGCTTTCATGAAGTTTAAAGCTATGATTCACCTACTGGAACAAGTTAAATGTCCCACTATTGTGGAATGGTTTAGACTAACGAATACAAAACAGAGGTATGTCGGCATGTTTCTCTCGAAGAACAGAAAGTTAATCTATCTGTTTTATAGATATTGGAGTAATGAGGTTATACATGAATGGGTATTAAGCATTGACTCTTATATTTATCAACAACAGCTGAAATCTGTGCGTAAAGCACATTATTTGAACGTAATTGTAGATGAAACACGAGATATTTCAGTTCAACAAATGATTGCAATTTGTTTACGTTACGTTGAAGAAAACACAGGTACTATTAAAGAAGAATTGTTCAAAATGGAACCAATAACAGATGAAAGTGGAGAAGGTACATAGTATAGCACAAACGAAAAAGTCAAATAATTGTCATTTAAGCTGTGGGATTCATACTCCTAATATTTAATTTATATTGCATGATTATTTTATTGTATTATAAAAAGAGATATAAATAATTTTATTTTATTTTGGTTAATAGCGTGCCAGCATCCGCAGTTATACGAATAATGTTGTTAGTTTATATGTATATATTTATTATTAGATTTGAAATGGATAATAACACATTTTGAAATCAAATGATCTATCTCTTTGTCATTTAACGGTTGTAATTAAACTGTTCTATGACACCATGTTGCCATCATGAATAAATCCCCACCGGATTTCAGAACATAGTTCATTTGGCTCATAAACTTTCGTTTATCTGGTATATGTTCGCCACTTTCCATTGAGTAAACAATATCAAATATTTCATTTGGAAATGGTAATGATAAAGCATTTGCTAGTTGAAATTCACATGTATCAGTCAGTTTCATCTTTTGTGCATTATTAATGGCAGTTTGAACTTGTTTTGAACTAATGGTTATTCCATAACATTGAACACCCAGATAGTGTTGTGTTATATACATTGAACTTCCACCAATTCCACATCCAACATCTAATAATGATAGATTATTTTATTTCTTATATTTATCATGAAATCCACTAAATTTTAATAATTGTTCAATCATTTCCACTTGCGCTTCATAATTATTTTTGGTCGTTTTTGTATAATATCCATGATGTAAATGATCACTCCATATTTCCTCCCACACGGATGTTGTTCGATCGTAAAAACTAGCTATACGTTCGTAGAGAAGAATGTTTTCAACATCGGTTGTATGCTTCCTAACCAAACTCGAACGACCGAACAATAAATAGAAAAAGAGTAAAACAAGAATAATCGAGCCCAACAAAAGCGTTTAGATAATATATTACTATACAGTCATGATATCAAATATGTGTTTTCAGAATTGATAGGTATGTTACGCAATTGCCTAGATAAGTACTACATATTCTTTCCTTTCTTATCAAAACACACATTACGAGAGCATATAAAAGACGCAAGAAAAGTAATGATTTCCATCATTGTTACTTTTTATTGTGTGGAAAATAAAAGCTCCATTTATTCTTCTTCTATCTTCTGTTCTCATGTTCTGTAAGGCTGAATTATACAAAGAAATACATTTTTGCTCCCGAAAGTGAAACGCAATTGATCCCGTTTACTAGTTTTCGGGAAAAGATGCATGAATGATCTCAGGCTTTCTACTGATTTTAATCAGTTATAAAATAACACAACTGATCCCGGAATAAAAATTAATTTACATAAAAATCGACTGTGGTCACCAAGGTGTGGAAGGTAGCAGTAATTTCGTTTCGAAAAGAAACTGTACTATCTTACAAGGCACATTTTTCTGCATAAGAAAGTGTATTTTGACCGATTCGATAACATAGATGGGATTGAGAAATATGGCCGAAATAAATGATCAGTCGAATGGATATACACAAGATTTAGCAAGGATTCTCAAAATGCACATGACAGGAAAGGAAGGAGTCAACTTAAAGTTTCGTATAGAGTTTTGTAGTAAAATGGTCGGGCTTACTTTATAGCTACCTCACACTTTTACAGTCAACCTTCTGTGTCAAAAAGATGGCCTTCCAAGAAGAACTTCCACATTTTGATGTCTGTCCGTTACCAAAAAAGGCTTTTTTACTTTATCGCATGGCAAAATTATTATCAATTTATCAAAGATCACAGAAACAAAAAAAATAAAATTAGACAATGATGTCGTCTGTTAACAAAACAGCCGTACGTCATGATGTATACGAATTAAAAAGTCCTTCATTACTGTAGGATGGGCGATTAAAGATATTCGTAAATAAACGAACTTCCTAGCAAAACCTGTCATTCAGAAACACTGCGAAGGACATATTTAAATGACTAAAAATCCTGTCACTAGAAACAAAGAACATAGTATTCGTATCATTTACACAGCGCGCGCATAACAAGCCAACGTTGGCAGAAGTAAAAGATTTTTAGCTCTGAACTGGATAGCGGTAAAAAAAATTCACTTGGCGAGTTAGAAAAACGAAAACACATTCGGTTTCTTCTTGAGAGAAAGCTAAAATTTTACGACTGGGGCGGACGTACTTCGTAGCAGCATTTGCACCCCGTGTTTTCAGTTCTAGAGATAAAATGTAATCAATTTTAAAATCATGAATATTGCGGCTTTGATTTTATTTAAAGGTATCGGGATAGCGAGAAGTTTGTTTCACGTCTTAAGTTACATCATATGGTTCTCAATACTATTTAGAGTCAAAGCAAGCAGAATGCATTTGGTTTGAGTTGAAAAACATTAACTTTTTTATAAGATACATCTGGGTATTTTCTATCTTTGACTGTGCTGTTCGAGTTTCATAAAAACACGATTCATTCAAGGCGGTACACATATCTACAACACTTAACTTGCAAAGTGTAAGTCCGATCTTGACCAAATTTTTAGGAGATGTTGATCTTGTGAAAGTATGGTGACAAAATGTTTTGTTTGGTTCCATCTAGCATGGTTTGTGAGATGTTGCCACAACAGTGACCAAAATGGGGTTATTCGTAGCTGCACGATTTCTCAGTAACGAAACGTTGTGGAGGGCTCGGGCTGGTCTTAAGTTGATGAAAACACATTTTACTAGAGGCTAATAGAGCCGGATTTTTGATATTTTACTTTTCAAATTATTGGTCAGCGTCAAAAGTCCAAAGTTTCGAAAAAGTCTCATTAACTTTCATAAAGATAATTTTCTAACCACAACTCTAGACCAAATATCAAAAATTGGGCTCTATTAGCCTCTAGCCACATGTATCAGCTTCAATTTAAGACCTTCCCGAGCTCTCTGCGATGTTTTGCTACCGAGAAATCTTGCAGCTACGAAATGATGTTAAGGTGAAAGTCGCTTTCGAGATATGGTGGCGCCAGTATCTGATGCATGTTTTAGGGCTTCCAGAAAAACTCCTCTAACTCTTGATTAGAACATTATTCAGAGCTGGGAGGTATCTCATTTTGATCAGAAATGTTTGCTCTGTTTTCTGGTGTTATTAAAAATATTTTTAGATTTGTTTTTCTATCGAAAAGTAAATTTTTTTCGAAAAGTCAGCTTTTCAAGGTCTTCAGAAAACTTTTCTAAAAACCTCTATATCTCTTCGATGAGGACCAAATAACATCGGATCCTGATAGTAGATAATGTGGGCTATCTGATGATGTGTTTAGCTCAATATCAACTTTTTATAAAAAATTTTATGTTTCTGACGGCAGGCGGAGGGGGGAGGGGCTTAAAATCAGCAATTCAGCAAAGAGTTGGGTGCCATCGCATCTGAATCACTTTCTCAGAAACTCACTCTGAAGATTTTTTAAATGAAAACGATGGAAATTTCAGAAACAAGGTTTTCGTCAGAATTTCTTCAAAAAAATGTTAAAATCATGCTTTCTGAACAAAATCATGAAAAACCTATCTCGATCTTATCTGCAAAATAGACGTCTGATTTTACACGTTTTTTCCTGAAGACTTTTTCGCATTTCCGCTGTTTTTGCTCACTGCTTTGCTAATTCCCATCATTTTTGTTTTAAAAATGTTCCAATGAGTCTTGTTTACCCCGTGACTTAATCGCTTACAAACAGCTCCAGTAATAGAAATAATTGTTTTTTTTCTCTTACGTGAATAGCATGAAACTTGAACAGCAAGAAAAAGAGTTGAAGGCTAGAATATCATTCATTCAATCACAAATCCGTTTTATATCAAAAGAACCGCCTCTTATTAATTTTTTTTTGTAAACTATTAGTTAGTGTTGCGTGGAAAAATATAAAATGTTACACACTCGGCGTCACAGACTTGCAACAAAGAAAGGAGTAGGAGATGTATTTGGCTTCTTGTAGAAGAGTTGGCTGAATTGGCTGGCTGTCGAAATTTTCTGAAATTGCTTGCTTTTTTAAAGCATCATTCAGTGAAGAATGTTCAGAGCAAAGCACATTTGAATTGAAAAAGTGCGCGAATCTCTCTTGACTTACTGATGTTGCCAATATGGACACCGCGCAGTCTTACAAAAAAAATTTTCTTTTTTTTAGGAGAATTATTGAATTATATAAATGATTATTTTTAGAAGATATTTTACGAATACTTATGCTGAGCAAGATGTATTATTCGAAGGTAACAACTAGATACAAACGGACAAAACGCATTCATCCACATCCAAGGGTTGACTCTTATTTGTTGTTTTCCTTCTCTATATTACAGGTAACTTTTGTATTGTTTTACTCAGGGAGCATTTCAAAATTGTTTACTCTTTTATTTGCTACTTTACTTCTTTTCTACGTTACTCTTTTACTACTCTACTGTTTCTCTCTTTTTCTGTTTTACTGTTTTCTTGCTTCTCTCTTGTTCTGCTTGCGCATTTATCGCATAGTCTGAGTACAAGTATAACCTCTATATATTTTTCTTTTCTCTCTTAGAATGTGCTTGCGAGTATATATCCTGTTATTTTTCTCGTTCTCCTCTCAATTCCGATCCTACCTACTATCCATACTAATTTTGACTCCATGTCCATAATGGACTTGAAGATTTCTCAATTTTTTTACAGTGCGGATTCTGTTCCTTATATCGGGTGGCCCATATAAAATCGGACACTTTTGTTCGTTGGTTTTGAGGCACTGTCCAGTAGTCCAAATAGCTTTTACTAAGCTCAATCGATAGAGAACTGAATTCTCTACAAAACCTGCTATTTGAATCTCTGAGAGCATTTTTCTCGTTTGAGCACCATTCAAAATATTGAAGGGTGTTGAGTTGTAGAACTGCGATGTGCTTGTGTCATCTCCTTTTTTGAGATTTTTAGCTCATTGTCTGAGAGTCAGTAGTTAATTTTCCTAGGTAGAAAGATGGAGAATTTTGTGCTCTATGGATCTCACTCATTTACAACTTCATACAATGTTTCCGCTATGCCAGCTGGTCTCATAATTAGCTCACAATCGGCTTTTCAATTTTTTCAAATTAAATTAATTTTTGTAATTAATGGTTTCAATTGAGAGAACTTTGTTTATATATCAAAAGATGCAGAATTTACAATACTTAAAATACATAGTCATAACTGGTATTCTCAGGGAAGCTTTTTAACAAATAATTTTAAATACAATTTCAACCTTCATTTTTTCTATTTCTTCTATATTTCAAATAAGCGGTTTGCGAAATAAGCGGAAAGTTTGCGGTTCGTCAGATGACAAAAAACGTATCTTTACTGTACTCGAACAGAAGAGTCCTGGTTAGAACCTATTATACCACGCATTCTTCTTCGGATTTCTGAGTTCTGTTTCAAATTATCCAACGTTTTGTATCAGCAGAAGACAAAGTTTTCTTCTTTAGTTTAAAATTTAAGCATTACGGTGCAGTCCAGAGCCAGTTTCCGAACATTTCCAATCCTGCATTTCATATCCTATGAAAATCTTTGAAAGACGGGCTACAAGCACATTCAAATTGTCGAATTCCTTTCTAACCATAGGATCATGACCATAGAAAAACGTGACAGACATATCAGTTACAACTGATAACCGGTTACAACCGGTATTGTTTACAGCCGTTATCGCTTACAACCGGTATCAGTTGTTCGATTATGACCGTAACCGGTGCATCCCTGTTCAGAACGTTTTACTGCTTTTATAGCCAAAAACTAAAGTCTGTGAAAATAGGTCCAAAAATTAGGTTTTTTTAGATTTATCAGTTTTTTGCACAGAGAAATTTTCGTAGAAGACATAGCTGCAAGATTTCGAAAAATATGTGAGAAGATGCAGAATTTTCCGGTGAACCTTCTGATATTTTCAAAATTCTTATAGAGTCTGTTTTTGGATCAAGGCAAATATTTCTCTATTTTCGGTGTGTCGTAGTTCGACAACTCAGCACCCTTCAATATTTTGAATGGTGCTCAAACGAGAAAAATGCTCTCAGAGATTCAAATAGCAGGTTTTATAGAGAATTCAATTCTCTATCGATTGAGTTTAATACAAACTATTTAGACTACTGGACAGTGTCTCAAAACCAACGAACAAAAGTGTATAACAACAGGTATAATTATTCATTTATCCAACTAATAGGCCAATAGAATTCAAGATCAAGTCCTCTATTTTTTACAAAAATGTTTGCTGTACAATCCGGCATTACTGAAATACTGTTTGATTGTGGCATTTTACTGAAATAATAGGATATCAGAAAAATCAATCTTTAAGAATACTGCTTGAGAAACTCTCAAAAAACCTTAATATTGGCAAAAGCAGTGTGTCTTCGAAGAGTAGATGTTTTGGGCTATCGAACCATGCGCTCGAGTATTGGCAGCAAACAATCGTGATTATGTTATAGAACTACTTATCAGCGATACCTAACCGGATAGAAAAAGGCTTCTTAGTAGAAAGCTGCCCTAGAGAATGTCCAGTTTGCCTGATCAGACCACTGGTCAGTAAACTGTAAGTAAAAAAGTCCTTGTCCTGTTTTCTTGGTCAGGATCTGTTTTTTTTCCTGATCAGTGAAAGAAATCAAGAACAGGACCTGTTTATTTCCTGATCAGTGAAAGAAATCAAGAACAGGACCTGCTTTTTGGATAGTCATCACGCATTCAACTGATAGCCCGGCGTTAAAAATGACTATAGCCTTTTCAGGTTTGATTACATCATGTTTTACTTGGACTTTTCTTCGAGAACATGATGTAAACAGTTTTTGAGGTTTTTATCGGTCCTGTGATCCCTTTAGGACCTCACAATCTTTATCTGCAAATGAAAAAAGACATGTTTTTACGGAACTCATAAATCAAAGACAAAGGATTCAGTACGAGTACACAGCAATTTTGGCTCCCTAATGCGTCATGTAAACCCTCCTGGCGTTTTCTTGCCATAATGTTGAACTATTTTCAATCTGTTTTTAATTAGTAATAAGGTCTGAGACTTTCAGTCAAGAAATTTTCTATCTTGGTTTCTATTCCGCTTCACGTGCTTCTCAATTATGACTCGACATATAACGGGCATTTGATCTCAAAATAAAGGTGAGAGCAGTTGATGTTTTATGGTTCGCGTGTGAATATTACCGATAAGGTAACGTTTGCCGCATGTGAAGGAAACATTCACGCTTGAACTTTCAGAGAATG